TCCCAGTACCGACCCTTGAGGGGCTCCACTATACACAGGCCTCCAACTGGACTCTGTCCCACTGACCACAACTCTGACTTCTTCCTTTCAATCAATTCACAATCCACCTCACTACCTGAGCATCCAGTCTGCACTTCCTCAGTTTAGCAGTGAGGATGCTGTGGGAGACAGTGTCAAACGCTTTGCTGAAATCAAGATAGACCCCATCCACTGCTCTACCATCATCTATCCACCTGGTTATGTCATCATAAAAGGCTCTCAGGTTGGTTAAACATGACTTCCCCTTGGTAAAACCATTGACTGCTCCTAATGACCCTCTAATCCTTGATATGCCTAGAGATAGCACTGAGGATAAGTTGTTCCATCACCTTTTCAGGGATGGAGGTGAAGCTGACCAGTCTATAGTTACCTGGGTCCTCCTTCTTGCCCTTTTTGAAGACAGAAGTGACATTTGCCTTCCTCCAGTCCTCAGGTACCTCTCCTGTTCCCCATGACTTACCAAAGATGACAGAGAGTGGCCTAACAATGACTTCTGCCAGCTCGCTCAGCACCTGTAGGTGCACTCCATCAGGATCCATGGATTTATGGATGTCCAGATTGCTTAATTGATCCCTAACCCAGTCCTCATCAACCAAGGCAAACTCCCCTATTGTCCTGACTTCCTCTGGGGCCTCAGGGGAGGACAGTCTCCAGCAGTGTAGACAGAGACAAAGAGGGCATTCAGTAACTCCACCTTCTTTGTATCCTCTGTCACCAAAGCACCCACCCCATTCTGCAGTGGGCCCACACTGCCTCTTGTGTTACCTTTGTCTGCAGTGTATTTGAAGAAGCCCTTTTTGTTGTCCTTGACCTCTCTTGCAAGGTTTAATTCAAAGGAGGCCCTAGCTTTCCTAGTTGCCTCCCTACACCCTCTGACAACAGTCTTATATTCCTCCCAAGTGACCAGCCTCTCCTTCCATGATCTGTAGACCTTCTTCCTCCACTTGAGTTTGCCCAGCAGTTCCCTGTTTAACCGTGTGGGTCTCCTGGCTCCCTTCCTTGATTTCCTACACATTGGGACACTCTGATCTCGAGCTTGGAAGAAGTGGTCCTTGAATGTTAACCAACTATCATGGGCCCCTCTACCATCTAGCACTCTGTCCCATGGGACTTCCCCCAGCAATTACTTGAAAAGGCCAAAGTTGGCCCTGCTGAAGACCAGCGTTGTGATCCCACTTGGTATTCTGTTCCTACCACACAAGATCCTGAACTCCACCATCTTGTGGTTGCTGCAGCCAAGGCTGCTCTCAACCTTCACCACTTCAATCAGACCCTCCTTATTAGTGAGTAGAAGATCCAGCAGCACTCCTCTCCTAGTTGGCTCATCCACCATCTGCATCAAGAAGTTACCATCAGTGCACTGGAGGAACCTCCTGGACTGTGAATGGCTGGCTGTGTAGGCATTCCAGCTAATGCCTGGGTAGTTAAAATCCCCCATGAGAACCAGAGCCTGTAATTGGGGGGCTGCTGCCAGCTGTCTGTAGAAGGCCTCATCAACTTCCTCATCCTGATCATATGGCCTGTAATAGACACCCACAACAGTATCACTCATGCCAGCCTGCCCCTTGATTCGTACCCACAAACTCTCAACTCACTCTTCATCCACCCCTGGACAGAACTCAATCCATTCTAAGTGCTCTCTCACGTAAAGAGCAACTCCACCACCTCGCCTTGCTGGCCTGTCTTTCCTGAGAAGGACATAGCCATCCATGACCACATTCCAGTCATGTGAGCTGTCCCACCACGTCTCTGTAACTGCCACCAGACCATAACCCCTTGACCACACACAGATTTCTAACTCCTCCTGTTTGTTCCCCACGCTGCGTCTATTGCTGTACGGGCATTTCAGGGAGTGAGCTGGGCACAACGATTCCACCCTAGGGGGGTGGGAGGCCTCCTGCCCTTCATCAACACTACAACACTGCACCACTGGTGTGAACCCAGCTACAACCCCATCCCCCTTCGAACCTAGTTTAAAGCTCTATGAATGAGCCCTGCTGATATTCTATGTTAAATTGGATTATCAACAAATCTTTTAAGAATAATACATACTCTGGTATTAAATCTGAAGTGACTTTGCTCTCATCAACTGTTGTTTTGCCTGAAGCAAAATAAAACAGGTATGCACGAGAGTGGACTTAAAATATTGAGACTGCTTTTAAAACTGTGGCCAGCTCTATGGTAAATGAGATAAAATTGTTAAATTGTCAAATTGGTATGAAATCTTTTCAGGCTCTTCTGCAACATGACTGTGAATCTTCTATTAGGGTATTTAAATGAAATTCAGAGACACTTACAAAAACGTAACAAAGCAAACATTTTCCAACTTAACATTAAAAAAACCCCACAATGATTATATCAATAGGTTGTATGACAGAACACAAGCATAGAAAGCTTCAAGTATTAAATAATAGAACTTAAAATGCTATGTTGGAAAAATAGTATTTAATTTTCACCTCAACTTCCTAAAGAAAAATTTACCAATTAATGCATAGCACAGAAAGAAGTTACAATACAGCATTAGAAAAAACGAAGTCTTTTTAATCTCTCTACCAAACTTGTGCAGGGGAACATTTCAAAAAGTCCTTCAAAATCCATACTATCATTACCTTACAAAAGCCCTTTTTGATTGTGCTGAAGTCTGGCAAAACATAATCTACCATTACAGTATTTTCCTCTCCTTTCAATCTGAAAGAGAAGAATGTAAAAAACAACAGAATAAAGAACAAGTTTGAAATCCCAGCTATTTTATATTGACAAAGCTTCCTTTGTCTTAACTGGAAAATTTTCCAATTAAGAGCATAGTTTTATTTATTTGTACAAATACATTATTCAAAATTACCAACTTTTACATTTAGTACTATTGTATACATACTTGGCAATGTCCATGTCCTTGTAAAAGTCTTGAGAAACATAACACACATCTTCTTTCACTTGATTAATTACATGTGTTTCATCCATAACATGTAGCTGCCTATGAAAAACAAATAACAAAAACATAGAAGTTTGACAATAATTAAGTCTTAGCATTACTTGTCCAGTTTTATATTGGAGATGAGCAACCATAGTCTTCAAATTGCAGAAAGCTACTGTCTCAATATCTAAAACTTGTATTCAATTTACAAAAGCATTCCTGGCCTACTGGAGTTTAATATTTTCATATTTTGCAGTTCAATAAATACAAATATCTACCTGCATTTGCCCAATATTTTCATAACAACTATAGCCATAATCGTGCAATTAGTTCTACTAGCAAAGACTTTTACCTAGATAAAGTTCCAAGATAAAGGATCCTATTGAGTTTTATTTTTGGTATTGATAGAATTAGTTAGCAAATTGACTGATGAACTATAGAGACATCTCAGAAAATATGTGAGGACTTGTATAATTGTGAACACATAGGTAACCTCAGCAACTTCAAAAGTGCTGCCACTTTAAAAACTAACAGCCTAATTCTTCAAAGAGCTTAAGATCATCTTAATTCATCTTGAGCTTAAGCTCAAGGTGGCAGCTAGCAGATTATAAGAGACAAAAATTCCTTTCTCCTTTAAACAATATTTAATCTAAAATTCACAGAACTAGTAAGAATATCCCCACAACTTTCTAGGTCATTTCACCAGGTCCCAAGATGATGATCAGCATGCTTTACCTGTAAGAGATAATCTCCTTCAGATGGTTGGTTAAGAGTTTTCCTCCAACATTGATTCTACAGAAAAAGAGCAACACAAGGAATTCTGTCATTATTAACTTCAGGCATAGCAAACAATTCCTCTAGAAAATACATACTGCAGTTTACCTGATGATTGCCTCTTTCTTCTTTTTACTTCTACAGTAAGGTACAATGTGTGTAAAAGAGTATCCACTATCCACAATGATACAACATAGCTCAGATGGATTGTCCCGGAAATACCTGTGAGCACTAAGAGCTCCAGCTGAAATACAGAAAACTTCTTTCAATTCTTATATAAATATACACTTTTAGAATTTACACTGATATGAAAGTGTACTTGCTTCATATTTTAAATGCCTTTGGCAGGCTTCCAAGACCTCAATACATAATACTACAGCCAACACATTAATCAATTTTGACAGTGGATGAAATTAAGTATCATACATGACCCCATTTATTCAAGAATTTCAGTCCATGTTCAGTTTCCTCTCCTAAAGCCCAAGCAGACTTATCACACCACAATTTATCAAACTATCTAAAGGACTATCCTATGTCCAACTATCTCTCAGAAGGGTTGTGATGTTATTTACACACTCCCTGTAAGAGACAATACATTTCATGATTGTAATGCTGCATTTATTTGCTAATACAAAACAAAACTTAACAAAAAACCACCACCAAAACTCAAAAAAAACCCCAAAAGCTATCAAAGTCTTAATTAAATCTTTGGTAGACTTTCTCAAATGCTATCCTGTTTCAAAATCCATCCATTATCTCTGTCATCTTGACTCCTCTGGTTTCTTTTAATTATACCACTTTCTTAAGAGTTTCATGGTATGTAAGAATATAGCTGGAATTTCTTAGGAAAAAAAAAAAAAGTTCAATCCAATTAGAGTACATATAGTAGCATATTACTCAAGAGCCAGGAAGGAAATTAAGCAATTTCTTTACTATCTTTATATACACATGTGTGTGCATATGCACGTATTTATTTATTTCTTTTCAAGGTTAACCTTCAAAATATATAAATGCAAACTAGAAGTAGACAGACTCACCATTTACTCTAAGAACTGCTTGAAATTGATATTCCTCAAACAGGATTTCATTCATAGATTCTTGTATTGAACTGAAGTTAAAATAAGGTTCAGTAATAATAATATTGGTATCTACAAAATCCACCTATGAAAAATACATTAAGATTGTCATTACACAAAACTGAGAAATTAATACCATATTTTGCAGAAGTTGAAGATCAAAAGATCATGTAAATCTGAAGACGTGATTATCACTTGCTGTATCTGTTTGTAGAAGCTAAGCTTAGAAAGTTTTAATTTTTCTTTAAAGACTTCATGAGCAATTATACAACTTTATCAAACTAATGGGTAAAAACATAATAGAATGGAACACCTTCGTACATATTCTGCTCCTGTTACCATCCTTACAAACTGCAAGCCAACATTTTAAAGAGATACCCATAAAGGAACACTACAATACTAACGTAAGGTACTTGACACGAATCCTGTCAACTACAGAAAGGTAAGTCTCTTCAACAGCTCAGCACTTGAATCTCAAAATTACCTAACTAATAACCAAAGATGAAGTCCTGCACAAAGCAGAATCAATAATAAAACTCCCAGTGACCTCTAATGAGGCCAGCAAAAGATTGGGGACTTTCCCCATTTACTGATATCCAAGCTCCATTAGAGGGGACTTCAGAAAGATACTTCAATCATAACTGGATATGGCCCTAAATGTATTACCAGCTGTATCCCTCTGCAGTCTTCACTCATAAAAAAGAACCACAAGCAAATTCTCCTCAAAACACTGACTAAATTGAATCCAGTTCCAGAAATAAAATGAGAGCTAAGTATCAAAAGCCAGTACTGTATATTTTTATGTATGGAGACTAAGATATTTGGACGTGTCACTCATTCTCGGGACCATTCTGCCTCCCAGGTGTTACAAAAAACCAAAAACCTTCAGAGTATATAACAATACATTTTTTAAAAAGAAAAACAAAGAGAAGCCTTACTATACTTCTTGTGCTAAATCCAGTTTGTGTGATAAATAAGAAAAATTAAGTATCAAATATTTATATTTTATACATTCAATTTACTCCTAGGCAGAAAATGGTTAGCCAAAAATGGTTACTCAATGTGTATGTCTTTTGGCCTACTGACCTAGCTCATCACTCTCTTTAACATCAACAGCTTCTTGATCTCTAAACCACACTGTATCTGTCTATAATTATTATTTTTTACTAGCTTGAACTCTTAATTATAGTGATGTGAAATTCTTAACATATGTGAACTGAACTCAGTATGAACACAGACAAGAAGGAAAAATTTAAATATTTTTTAAATACTACACCAGAGCTCAAAGTAAAAATTTTCTCTGGTTTGCAAGAAAATAAATCCCTGTGATTTCTAACTGAAGGCACTTTCAAAGAGAACAGTAACCTCAACAGTTCTATTTAATATTTGATGTACTTACGTGAATACCATTAGTCAGTATTTAATGTACACAAAATCTGTAATTAAAAAAAGCTCTTACTTGATACATTTCTTTTCCAAAAAGATAATCCCAAACTTGTCTCTGGACATCCCAGTTCACCAAGTAACCCTATGGGAATTTAGAAAAAAAAATTACGCTATTTAGAAAATGAAATCATACTTAAAAAAAAATTGTTATAAATCAAAAAATATCAAGTGATTGATAGACTGATAAGAAATTTGAGAGTAAAAACATCGAAATTCACATTTCTATGCTAAGGAGTAAATATTACATAGGACAAAAAATGTTACAAATATTCCCTATCAACATGTTAGTTCCTACAAAAACAATGTAAATTGCGTTTCCTATATACATTACTCTCTCTGACAGAAACCTGTCAGTCTGACCTCGGTGCCAAGGAAGGTTACGGAGCAGATAATCTTGAGTGCCATCATGCAGCCCACACAGGACAACGAGGTGATCAGGCCCAGTCAGCACGGTTTTATGAAAGCTTGACTAACCTGACCTCCTTCTACAACAAGGTGACCCACTTAGTGGA